GGGGTCGGGGGGGGGGGGTAGGGGTTCCGTGGATCATTATGACCAAAAAGTCGCATTTTGTCCAAACACAAAAAACTCATCGGATATCGACGCAGCTCGACGCCGCCGTTACGGCCAAAGCAGTTTCACCTTCCAAATCGTTTTTGTTCGAAAGTTATCGCTAAAAAACAAAATGGACAAATTGTCCTGGACTGACCATATCATGCAACAGCAGTGCAGCAGCACTTTCCAGGTGCCCACCAGCACCTACCTGGCCCACCTCCCTGAGTTTGAGAATGGATGAAACCTGCTTTGGTACCAGCAGCGTAGCATCAAGCACGCGAATTCGTCCGAGCGTGTTATTATCTCCCGAGGTTTTTGTTTTTGGTCTCGACGCAATAAAAAACGCGGTGTTTTTCTGAGACGCCCGCAATTCCTGTGTTGGTGGGTGCCTCGAAGACAACATGCAAAGAGGGATGATTGAGCCGCCGTCGCGATACAGCAAAGTCGCCATTTCCACAAGGGAGTATTAGCAGATCAGACGACTTGAACGATTCTCCCGGTCTCGATAGGGGCAGGTCTCCGGGCGTTGAATTGGGCAATTTGTATCCGGGAAGCAGTCTAGTTTTTGGTACCAAAGAGTTGTGAAGTACATTCCACGGAACACGGCGCGGGCGTCCGTACATGCGTGAATCGACACGCGATCATCGTCGGCCATGTCACTGCTATCGCGCTATCCTCGTCCCGATGATCTCTTGCCAGCCTCTCCCCCTGGTCTTGTGTGGCCGCTTTGTCAAACGCTGTCCGTCTTTTTTGAAATGTGTAACGCGGACTCGATGTGGGTGTACCGTACGTCAGTGAACCTCCAGTTTGCTGTGCCCCTTGATGCCGCTATCTGGAGATCATGGTGTTGGACCAGCTTTGCCACACACACGTTGCACCCATCCGGAGAACTATCTCCCCGGGGCCCAACAGATCCGACCCAAAGCTGGAAAAAATGCTGAGAAACTGCTCTAGGGTACGTGAGTAGCGGTATCCACACGTGCAAACGGGCAACGAGTGGGCTCCGGGACCTGCGGGGCCGCCTCCTTGCAGCTTTCCCTCGGGGAGCAATACGTAGGACACCTTCACCGAGTGAAGTCCTCATCCAAGCAGCGTAGGTTGAATCGGCGCACGGACTGCATGAAGAAGTGTCCTGGGTTACTCCACGACAAATTGACAGAACACACTGGTCGACGTAGGGTCGATCTTCCTGCCAAACCTAACACCAGAGAATCTCCGCACCTAGAAGGAATGCGTTAGTACCGAAAGTGTACTACTCCCGTTGTAGCATTGATGCCGAAAACTAAGTTACCGATCGCTGGTTGTGGGTCGTTTCCCACCTCTTCTTTGTTGAACTATCAACAATACGGTGTCAAGCCGGCCAAGTTTTCTCTTTTTTTTTCTTGTTTTTTCGTCGAAAGGGTGCGCGTTATAGACTATTCCCTCTAGACTGTCCCGCCGATTCCGTACACATTATGTAATTTCTGCATCATGCCTGTCTACTTGGCCTGGCTATGTTAGTTTCTTTGCCTTTGCCGACCAAACCTTTTTCTCCAACCCGTCGGTCGTTCCCCTTGCAGGTGCTGGCGCATGCCTCCGTATGGGCGTTGACCGAATACAAGCGGGTGGTTTTGCTGTCGGACAACATGCTCGTGGTGGAGAACATCGACGACCTTTTCCTGTGCGAGGGGATTTGCGCAGGTATACGCCGTTTTCGTTTTTTCTAGCTAACACGGTCTGCCCACACGTGAGATGCGCAGTTCATGGTGATGAAATAACAAAGTTTGTAGGACCTACACACGATGCATGGCCCCGAGAGTGCATCTGCACCCCGCGCCTTTTTTTCCTCCGAATGACGAAAGCAATATTGTTTCGCCGACGACTAGAGCCTATCAAATGGCCTTGTCTCTGTGGGGCCCAAGTTTGTATTCTCCGACGGATGAAATTGAGGCAATAGCAATATTTCAGAATCAGTGCTCGCGTTGCAAGCAACCACGTAACGGGCATTGCGCACAGCAGGGTAGCGGCCTCTGCCAACTTTAGCATGGGAGATGCGCGTGGAATGTTGTCGTGTGGCTGCCGTTGCTATGGAGAGTGGTATGCTGCTGTGGGGCGATAGGTATGTGGCAGTATTTCAAAGAGGGCGTTATCCAGATGACGAAACTGTAAAATATGCCCATGTCGACGTGGGTTTGTTTGTCAAGCCTTTGGTCATCTGTGAGGCTTGTGATTTCTGTTCTCCAACGGATAAGGTTGGCTGCTGCTTTGTGTTGTGCTCTTCTACCCTCGACACGTTGTTATAAGCGTTATAAGCAACACATCTCGTCGCCGCTAAGTCTCGTATCATAGCCAACGCAAACGTTTGGGTACCCAACACTTGTGGGTCATTGCAAACCTTCCAGCCCACAACAGCACATGTCGTAGTTTATTTTGTAATCATTCCCGCATCACGTTATTTTGTCGGCAGTGAGTCTAGCCAGACCCACGTACAGACTAGTGATGATTCCGTATATTCTTCTCGGACGGAGTTGGCGTACCCCAACCAACAATTGTGGGCACAGGCAAACACCGTGTGTGTTGATGTGGGTTTGACCACACTTTTTGCAGCACTGTACTGCTGTATCAACGCGGTAAACTGAGTTGGCGTTGTGCTCTTGTGTGCAAGAACAGCAGCACACCCCCAGGGGTACAGGGGTATTTTTGAGCAAAACTGGATATCTCCGAATGACGAAAACGTTTAAGAACTACGCCGATGTCAGCTGGAGGCTTCTCTTCGAGACTTCCTTCTGTGTGGCCGGTGAGGCATACGATTTCTGTTCTCCGACGGATTGACGCGTTTCTCGCCGGTGTATGTCTGCTCGTGTTGATCGTACAGTACGCCGTCGCGCGAAAAACATTGATTTTCCACAGGGGTATTTTTTCTGTGGATTCCACAGTAACTACCGTCATGAATTGCATTTCCTACCTCATGCTCTCTATCTATATGTGAAATAATGCACGCTTGCTGATATCAGAGCCTTTTTGCCGGCACGCACTGCACGACTGTCTGATGAACGTGAGAAAGTACGTGTTCGTGTCGCTGCCCCCCCCCCCCGCTAATCCCGGAAGCCGCCCCGTCGCCATGTGCGTGGCCCCATGCGCACCCGATCTCAAAATGGCAGCGATGCAACAGGCAGAGGTAGTGAGCACGTCGCTTATCGTGCTGGAGCCCGACCTCGACATCTACCAGCACATGTCAAGATCTGTCGGCACCATCTACAAGTGCGTGTGTGCGGTAGTACCATGGTATCTTGCAATCCGGGGAGCGGAAGAGGAAAAACGAATAATACGACGGGACGTTTTCACCGTCCCATTCATCTCTCATCGTTGTCCTTTGCCGAATTCTGCTGTAGATAGAGGTAAGCGTTGATGTTTCTGAGTTGTTTTTTTGTTGGTCGTGACGTCATCGGCTTGTACTTGTTCGTGTTGAGTCCCATGCTTGCGTTGGTTCCCATGGGGTTCGGCCGGATCTCGTGGTACGGAAGGGTACTCGGGAAGTTACACTCAGCCAACGAGATCTAAAAATGCCTTGATTTGATCACTTTGTTTCGATTACTCCCAATGTTCACCTACACTACGCTGCCGTACTGGGTTGCCAAGCTCAGCTCTTGTTTTTTGCCGCAGCATTTCACATTCGACTCGCACACAGGAGAGGTTAGCAGCACGCGCCCTCCTTTCATGTGAGGTTTTCTAAATCACACGCACGCGCACATTTTGTACCACGCTTGAGCGTCATCTCACCGAATTGTGACCGCCTTCTGCCGACGTCCTCTGGTGATCCCTCTTCTAACTTATAACCTTTTTGACGCCGATGAAACCGTTTTGTTTGTCGGCGTGTTTTTCCCGTCTTGTTGTGGCCCGCTGCAGCTTCTCGAACAACTTTCAGGGTTTCCTGAATACCTACCTGGCGGGATTCGAGACGTGCGCGTTTTTCGACCTCGAGAACCCCTGCTTACAGGTAGAGAACAATTGCTTGCAGGTGGATGAATACTGTCGCCAGCCTTCGTTTTTTGTATTGCTGGTTGTTGGAGGAGTGACGCGTCGATCTCCAGAAACCTCCAGCAATGTGCAGAGCACTCAAAAATCCTGTCCAACTCTGTTTCTACCCACGCCCCGTCCTCCCCCCCTCTCTCTCTCACTTGTACCCTCCCCC